AGTAGTTACGCTCAATTGCTCTTTCGATTCGGCTCGAACTCGAGCATACACGGTGCTGAGCTGGTGGATGCAAACAAAATTGACCCTCTCGACAGGAGCCTGCTTGAAACGCTTCCCATCCCACATCCACCAAGTCTTCCCGTCGTTCCAGATCCTGCAACTCATAAAAAGGTGTCATTCTTGGGGCTATAACGCCGTCAATGCCTTCAAAAGTCAGCGCTTGCAAGCCGTAGCGTTCGACATAACGGAACGTTCAACGGCCGGTGGCTGCTGACGTCATCCCGAGCTCCTAAACAGAAGACGATTTGACACATGGACACGGTGCAGGCTTTCTACTACGACGAACTTTAGGTGGAATGGCTGATGGCGTCACCCCGAGCTCCTGAAGAAACGAGGTTGGCAGCAATCGGACACTTGGAACAGCACACAGTGCAGGCTCTCAATTTCAGTGAACGTCTGGTGGATCAGATGCTGACGTCATCCCAAGCTCACGACCCCAAAAGGTTCGCTGATCGGACACTTGGACACGAAACACAGTGCCTGCTCTCAATCACAACAGACGCCAGGTGAAAGAGATGCTTGCGCCATCCCGAGCTCCCCATCCAATAAGGTAAGTTGAAACTCGGACATTGAGACAAAGGAGACACTACAAGACATGGATGACAACAAGGAATAAGCGAGATGCACGCAGACAATTTCTCCCAGAGATGAGCTAGAAGGCAACAAGATGGAACCAATGGCTGCAGCTTTGTTCATGATAATTTTTCAAAGTCGCAACAGCTACCACAGAGAAAAGGAGTGTTTGATACCACCTGCGGCACCTCGAGTACATCTGTGCGACGATCCGACTGCCGCCCATGTCACCTCTGAACGCCCAGTAGTCCACGAAAGGCTTTGTCAGCTCCTTGTACACGGTCGGGTCGTCCTCAGAAACTGGAGCTGTCTCGCCCCCCATCATGCTCTCTTTTGCCATGAGCTCACCGATCTTGCGCGGCGGGTCATTGTCACAACATTCTGGGCTGTTGCACTTGTAGAGGAGGTTGCGACCCCGCACGAGGACGCAAAAGTTGTTGGAGCCGCTGTGATTGGCCCCGTACGGACACACGCGTGCGGCATTGACGCGGAACACGTTCATGTCGCCCCCAAAAGACCACTTGAGCTTGTCAAAGCATGAGTTGGAGTCTCCAGCGGCCGCGAGGCACTTCTGAATGCGGTCCAGAACAGCTGGCGGAGGGGGCAGCTCGATTTCGTCCACACCGGAATCATCAGTTGGTCGAGCTGGGGGCCCAAATGCCAGTCTGCAAAGAAACACAACTGAGAATGGTGTTCAAATGGAGCACATAAGCCTGGCTCAAAATAATGCTCGTTGCACGGAGCTTATACTGTCAACTTTTATCTCAAGCAGCTTGCGAATCCTCCACAACCTAATTGCTCGACCTCAAATTCACGGCAAGAATCTGACTCGCATGTTTCAATGAACTTCTTCCTAGAAGCAATCAAATCTGCCAGCGCAGACCTGTACACGAGGGTTCAAAAGCAAAAAGTGGAGGCACAGAAAATGCAAGTGTAGGGAGCAGTTGTAGCTCTCCAGCTATGATAGCTACCGACCTCCAAAGGGATCCGTGCACATCAAAAATGAGAGGCTGCTCAGAATGCCACACGGTAGACCGTGCGTGTTGAAACAAGCATCGACAAGCACTGAATGCCGGATGTTGGCACACAGGCATGGACCCTGCCTTGAACTCGTTACAGGCTTCGTGTCCTACATCAGAATGTGATGTACCTCGATGCAGTTGGAGGCGCGTTGCTTGCATTGATGATCTCGATCAGCCACTCCGGCATGGCCCGGAGGTTGGCGCGGTCTGGGGCGATCTCCTGCATCCACCCATAGCGCCGGACCGTGCCGTCGAGGCCCTTGTAGCTGCTGGGGCTCACGAAGAGCATGCCCCCCTCGCCACGCGTGTCAAGGCCCACCTTCGTGCCCTTGTACTTCAACCGAGCTCTTCCGGCCCCGCTCAGCAACCCCGCGGCTTTGGATTGGGAGAGGGAGAACAAGAAGTGTCTCCCGGGTCTGTGTCCCGACCACTGCCAGGGGGTGTCGTCCGGCAGAGGACCATGCTCTTCCAACATCCGCTCGAAAGCTTCCAACCCACCATCCTCTGCATCGACGTCCAGGGCATAGATGTCGGAGGGCTCCGTCACGATTGCAAGGCAGCCCCGCCCCGGTCGAACCCCTTCTCGGAGGCACCTCCCAAGATCGCAGTTCTTCTGCCACTCTGGCATGAGACCAATTGGCGCCTTCTTTTCCTCCCCCTTGGCATTCAGGTAGACACTCATATCAAAGGTGAGCGACGCCACTCCCAACCCGTGGAAGTGATGTGCGGCAGCCACGCACTGGTCCAGTGCGGTGCCCGGAATCGTTCTCGGAATAGGGGGGTTGCCGGCTGCGTGCGATGCCTGGGGCGCTGGGGATGGGGTTTGGGCGCTTGGGACAGCTTGAGGGGCTGCAGGAATGGCGATGGCTGGAGGGTTTGCAGAGGTGGGCACGTGGCTGGGGGGGGAGGGGCCACCGGCAGGGACAGGCTGGGAGGCGTTGTCTAGTTGCGCGTTCGCGACAGAGTCGGGCATGTCCAAAGGGGCCGGCCCAGATGCAAGGATTCAATTCTTGGGTGCTCTGGCAGCTGTGGGCTGCAAAGAAAAGACGATAAGAGGAAAGGGTCAGAGACCGAAGACTGTTCTGCCATGAGCAGAACGGGCAACAAGGTGTTCGTATAATGTAATGCAGCAAGAACGACACCCTTGGAAGCTGCTGACCAGAAAGACGAGAATCAAGGTGTATATGTTTGAACAACGTGGGAAACTTCACGACCAAAAAATGCTTCTGACGAGCTCTTCGATCGGACGCTAAATCCAGACCTCTGGCGCTAACCAGCTTCGAGCGCTCAAACTTGCATGCTCAAAAACTAATCGGAGTGAACAGAATTGATTCACCAGGCTGGCTTCTTTCTGTCCGACCTTGCAAAGAGCATGTGGTAAAAACAGACGAATTTGGAAAACAGACTCTAGTGTTGAATAAAAGGTTGATCTGGTCAGCCAACAAACCTGAGTATCAACAATCAACCAACTTTGTGAGCCAACCGAGCTCCAAGATTCTGGACCGATATGCAGGCAACCGGGGTTCACGCTCCAATGTGCGCAGGGAGCCATTGGCTATGTATCCCCAGGCTACTGACCAATCCATAGAAACTCATAAGCGAAAAGCGCGGGTAATGGGAGCTGTCATCAAAGGGGGCCGACCCGAAAACTTTCGTCAAAGCTCGAACACTTGGACACCTTCGCGCAATCAACCTAAACCCCAGCGCCAGAAATTGGAGGTTGACTCTCGATTCGTGTACATCAGTAATGGTCCTTGGTGATATGTTGATATGTACACGAGCCACCGCACTGCGGCAACCCTGCTGACATGATAAAGAGCCAAGCTGCATCTGAGCCGGGAGCCAACTCCCATGCGAAAGGGAGACTTCAGCAAGAAGCGAGGCTCACCAAAAGACCTTCCCGTGTTCGTGCACGCGGCACAATTATGCATTTTGCAAAATCGTCCGACAGGTCAAGGTCGGAGTCGAATTCGTCCCACCAGCCCGCATCTTCTGGCTCTGGCGCCCCCGCAGACGTGGCGTCGACGTCCAACATCTGCTCATCAGCCCCGCTTCGCTGCCTTTCTCCATCAAAAACAGCAGCCTGGCTCTCGCATGCCATCGGACCACCACTCTCAGAAGAGGACTCCGATGAGAGCAGCACCCGAGGACGCCGTCTGCTTTGAGGCGAGTGGCTTGCTCTGCCGGGTGCCCGCCGCTTGAAGCGCCGCACCAGGAGCTGGGACAAATCGTCCGATTCCGAATCGGCCTCCATAGCAGCGTTCGTTTGGGCATACCGCACCAGCGGATTCTGGACGTCTTGAATATCCTCGCCCTCCCCTTCCAACTCCGAGCTCCGCTCCTCATCCTCGCTGGAGAGCTGCGGCTGCTGCTGGCTATCGCCACCGCCGGCCTGCAGTGCGGAATATGTTGTTTCAGCAAAGAGAAATGGATGAAGCAATGAGAGGGCACGCTGCTGGTCTTCCATAAAGCGCTGCTTTGGTAGAATGACCCCTGTCCAAGAGTCCGACTTCTTCACATGCTTTTCAGTTCGAAGTCTCCGACATGATGTCAGCAACCATCATGGGCGAGATGACTTGCAATTGACAGCACGCATCCCAGTCCAAGTGTCCGAGCTCCTCACATGCTTTCTAAATCCGAGCCGAATTCATGACGTCAGCCAACATCTCTAGCAGATTGTCTGGTAATTGACAGCACACTCACCCGCCCAAGTGTCCAGACTCAAGTCCGACCTGGCTTCATGACGTCAGCAATCCCTGCCAGCAAGATGAGTTGTACCAAGGAACGAAAAAAACCAGCTAGACAAATGGAATACTTTGATTCGAACTTCACACTAACCTTCGAAACGAGGTTGGCTGTCCTTAGCGGCAATATACTCGCCAGGTCCTACCTCAGCCTGTGTTGGAAGTCGTGGAAGTGGCTGGGGTCAAAGAGGCCTCAAAGAGGCCATGCAGGCGGGGCTCTCGCTGGTTGACTTGGACCTGCAATTGTAGTCAAACGCGGTCATAACTGCACGCTCCCATTCCGATCCTGACAGCAGCTTCATTAAAAGACTCGAAAGCTGTGCAAGCAACTGCAAGCGACATGTGCCCTGACTATACCGAGGAGTAAGTCTGTTTTATCAGCCGTGAAGCGGACACCTTGGACACTCGGATGGGGTTCGCACGATCAGCCACCGCAGATTGTGCCGGGATGGCTGCTGACGTTATCAAAGAGGGTCGATCTCAAAAGGTGCGTCAAAAACTCGGACGCTCGGACAGGGTTCGTGCAATAAGTCACAGCGAATTGCTTCCAGAATGACTGCTGACGTCATTCAAGTGAGTCGATCGGGAAAGGTGCGTCACAACTTCGGACGCTCGGACAGGGTTCAAACAATCAATCACAGCGAGCTGTGTACGGGATGCCTGCTGACGTCATCAAAGGGATCGATCTCAAAAGGTGCGTCAAAAACTCGGATGCTCGGACAGGGTTCAAACAATCAATCACAGCGAGTTGTGTCCGGGATGCCTGCTGACGTCATCAAAGGGGGTCGATCTCAAAGGTGCGTCAAAAACTCGGACATTTGGACAGGGTTCGCACAATCAGTCACAGCGGCTTGTTCCCGGGTTGGCTGCTGAAGTCGTCAAAGGGGGTCGGTCAAAAACTTGGACGCTCGGACAGGGTTCAGTCAACGTTCCTTCAAAGTATGTGCACTAGAGCTCCTTGAGCACAACAAATCTTCTGACTCTCAGCCAACCCTTCCATAAATCAGGGGAACGTAAAGGTCGCTAGCGAAGGGACGATACTTGATTGAGGATTGCGCTTGAGTATCAAGAAAGCGTGTTAAGTGCTAAGAATTCACAGGTGTAATTTGTAATGGCACCTTCATTCTAGTACCTATTTCTGTATGCATCTTGAACCTTGGGGTCCTCGAGGGGGCACCAGACTAGCCCGCCGGCCAGCTAAAATTCAGCCCGCAGCGGACCACAGACCAGTTTGACACTTTTCCTGCACTTCCATGCACAGTAGAGACGGAAATAGCTCCGACGCACACATTGGATCAGCCTTGTATCTGCCTCACAATCAACCCACTGAAAGCAGGCTTCAAAACAGCCCTGGTGCTAAGTCCAGATCAGCCCTACAGCAGCTTGCAAGAAGCCCAACAGCGGTCCACTGGTCAGTCCGCCAGCCAACTAAAAACAGTCAACAGAGGGCCTCAAACCTATTTGTCAGTGTCCTAGCAAAGTGGGACATCTTGATAGATTCAAAGCACGCCTCCAATCAGCCCGAAAGCGAGCTCCAATCCACTGACAAGGCGTTTAAAGCAGCCCCGACCAGCTGTACCACCGTCAATAGAGCAGCCAGACAATGCCCACTGAGTCATCACCCACAGTCCAATCGAATCAATTTGATACAAGTGAAACGCCTCACCTTTCTGAACGCTTGCAAACCCGTCTGGCCGACCTTTATTGAGCAAGAACTTGGGGTTGCAGCCGAGAATACCCAAGAGCCAGAAATCATGGGCAAAAAGCAAGTAGTTGGCAACCTTGTACGTGAAAGCCGTCCACCTGGATGCTAAGCAAACCAGGCTGTTGCGGTTGCTCAGCAATCTGCGGCTCCTCATTAATCGCCATTGGCCCATCCGGGTTGTTGCAAGCGTGTGCCATGAGGGGGGCCGGGACGCCGCCTGCCGCAGAGTTGGAAACAGGGTCGTCAAGTTGGAGCATGCACGTGTCTCCTTGCTCAACCACTGGTTCTTCCTGCGAGGATTACGCAAAAAGAGTCACACCCTGTGATGCATGGTCAGCTCCAGTCGGTAACAGGCAACGAGGGGCCAGCCGTCCCAACAAGTTGGTTTCTCAAAATGGTGCTGGATGAAGTGACAGCAAGCCTCCAAAAATCCACCCTACAGTATATTTAGAAGCAGCCCAAACAGGGGACTCCGAAAAAGAGCCCCACATCGAACTCCAATCAACCCCACGGCGGGCCTCCAGAAAACCTGACAACGGGCTCCAAAGTAGCCCTACAGCCAGCTCCAGAGCAGCCCGGAAGTGAGCTTCAAACTAGCCCTGCAGCGAACGACAGAGCAGCCCCGCAGCAAGCCCAAACAGCCCCCCCAGTGGGCTCCAAATCAGCCCGACAGTGGGCTCGAAAAGCAGCCCGACAGCAGTCGGCAAAACAGCCTCGCAGCAGCTCAAGTCAGCCTCTCAGCGGGCGGCAAGTCAGCCCCGCAGCGGAGTCCAAATCAGCCCTGCAGTGGCCGCAAATCAGCGGCTCAATGGGCAGCGCATCAGCCCTCAGTACAAGCAACAAATGAGTCCGACAGCCTGGAAACAAATCAGCCCCCCAATGAGCCCCGTAGCGCGCGGCGAATCAGCCTTCAGCAAGCAACAAAAAAGCCCGACAACTTGGCGTCAAATTAGCTCCTTCAAGGGCAATTGCATACAAGCACCTCAGTTTCATCTCTGTTAGCCCGCTCACCTTACCGTCTTGATTTTTACGATGCCACTGCAGGGCCTTGAGGCGCGTCCGCCATGTCCTCAAAGGGTCCTCAATTCTGTCATAGCGACCCAAGAACCTTAGTTAATAGTACAACCTTCTGATACCTGCACAATTCTGTTCCATGCACATGGTGAAGAGCAGGCTGCCAGTTGGCATTGAAAGCGAACCCTAAATTTGTGCTATGGGTCGATCATTAGCAGGCTGCCGATTAGCATTGAAAGCAGACCCTAAATTCACGCTATGGGTCTACCAATAGCAATCAGGCTGCACACGCCAATGCTCGTCTTGCACATAACACGTAGCCATTGTAGCGGGGCGTGTGTTCACCAAGACGCAAATCTACTGTGCTCCATAGCAAGCGCGTACAAGAGCAGCCCCCAGCGCATCCAGAATTTCAGCCTCACAAAGGTCTCAGACTAGAAGGCCCCCCTGGACAGCTCACCGTCCATCAAAGTCGTTCAACCTTCCGCTGAGCTTTCAGGACCCGTGTGATCGCTACATCCAGGAGTATTGCTTGTTTGTGTACTCTGCAGCTTGCTGCACCAGGCGTGCTCTGTCCCCGAGTGACAACTCGGAGGCCGCAAAGCAAGCAAAGGTCGACGTAAGAGAGCTTCCACTAGGGCATCAGTACGAGTCTCAGAAGAGGTGATTCTGACTCGCATCAAGTAGAGAAGGAAGGCATGTGGCAGCAATTTTCTTTTCCTGTTACCTTGCAATACACGCCATATTATTAAAGACTGAGCAGCTAAGTAGTGTAGTAGTCTGGCAGGAAGCTGCGTTGTAAGAGAAGGTGCACAATGATCAGCCACCGACAATTATTTGTGAACACCAGTGACCACCAGTGTTATTTGGCCACCTAGCAAAGCCTGCCTGTCGCTGAACTGTTGCGCGCGGAGCCAGAGTGCCAGAGAGTGCTACCAAGTGCTGCAGAGTGCTACAGAGTGCCCGCAGATACAAACAGGGACCGGAAAAGTCGACTCGGATAACTCCCGTGTGACCTAACGTTAGGCTGTGTGACTTGAGATAGGCGCCCGGGTGACGGGTAGGGTTGGCCCGGTGGTTAGGGTGGGTACGGGTGCGGAGCGAGGTATGCTTTAGGTTGGGGTATTTAGTTTAGGTGCCCGGGTGATTTGTATCGTAGGCACAAGAGTTATCGGTATGAAAGGTAGGTGGTCGGGGTCGGTTCCCTTACCGTCGGGGTTCCGCAGCCGGAACGACGGGAATGAAGAGTCTTGTCTCCAGGGTATGGCCGGGCCGGCAAGGCGGGTATGACATGGCGGCCTGTGAGTGGCCCCGTTCTGAAACCGAACTTCACTTGCATGGCTTGCTGCAGGAAGGGCGGGACCCGGGGTGCATGGAAGGTCGCGCCAACTGTTGCACTGATCCATGGGGGCATCCGACTCGCATGTCCGAAAGGACAACGGAGTCCAACCATCCAATGCGGAGATCATGCATTTGATATCTGCCTGGCCAAAAAAACCCTTCCGCACCGGCAACCTAGCAACTAGATAACTGCTTTGGCCCCTTATACGTGCGAGATGCCATCTTTGAATGCCATTGTGGGGCCATCGCTCATGGTACTAACAGGGACATGCCATCGACACCTCTCATCAACAACCGACATGACCAGATCAAAGACGAAGGCGAAGGCGAAAGCACTTCTCTCGATAGCACGTTGTAATATACCCTTGCCGAGTGATTGCATGAGGCTTTGCAGACAGTGCATAAGATTGCGCTTAGTCTGGTCCGCTACAGGTCCATGCTTATGTTGAGAGATTCAAGTCATAGACCCACGTTCATGCACAAATTTGGCACTGAACATGCCTTTGCACCGGCACATTGCCCCATGCCTTTGATACGCACGGTCTATAAGAAAAGTACGTATACATCCAAGCAGTGCATTGAACGCTGTACACCGAATCTAAAATTGCCCTGAAGGATTTGTCAAGATCATAGCGCTATCGTCCGATCGAAAAACTTGGTCTCAGCACCACCCGATCGCACGATCGCTTTTGGAAAATGGGTTTCTAATCTGCAGGTTATGGATATAACATGGACTGGAGCCTCTTCAGAATCGGACCATGCCTGCTGTCACTAGCGCCATGGCTGCCAAGCGGGTGCCCAGGTGTCTGCAACACATGCAAGACCTCCCTTCTGCTTTGCGCACGTTCAACAGCTGTTCCTATAGGCTGAATCTTAGCACGGTGTCCATTCTCTAGTCCAAAGAAGGTACAACAGAGCGAACATTGGCTGGAGTGTGGGCTTGATCCATCGTTGAAAATGGTGCTCTTGGGCTCCGAGAAAGAAAACGACACACTTTGGAGCCCTAGGGCAAAAATTACACGTGCCTTTTCTGAAGTGAAAAGTTGCAGGCAGCTCAATGAACGACATTGTGCCCAACGCGGCAATGAAAGCTCTATCGTGTCTCCTAGCAAATGTCGAAGGTCACATTGGAGCCTCAGAGGAGGCGTGATTTCTTTGCTTGATTTGCTGATGAGGCTGCAGCATGTGAGGGCACAACATGGTGAAGACAGATTGAATTGGAAGGCTTAGGTTGCTACCAAGCCTGAAGACCCTACATGTTCACCAGATATGCAGATGATCCCCAAGCATCAAAGTTGGTTGCAGAGTGTCATAGGAGCACAAACGAACCATGTGTTGACCGGTCGATTTGCAAGCTGAACAAGCTAATGGTCACGTCAAACACGCGGACCCTGAAAAGGTTTGCTCATTGCAGGAACTTAAGTCATGCGATGCCAAAGCCTTCGAGAAGCGCCTGCAATGACTCGAAATTTACTCTACCCAGATCGAGGATTACCATAATACTCCTGCATCAACATCTTCCGCATATTCTCATCATCAAGCAAGGTCATTCGCTTCTTGCTGACTTGCTCGAGTTGCTCCTCCACGTCGTCAAGCCGTCTCTTCATGTCGTGCCACTTCCACTTGATTACTCGCTCGCCCAACGAGCACCGAAGAAGACCCTCCACGAGTTGCAAGGACTTGACTCGCACAGCCATGTCCTCGTCTGGCCAGAATGCACGAATCTGTATTGCAACACACCAGAATTCATTGCTTTTGACGTACATAGTACGCACTTGACCTGCAACTTAAACCTATCTTTTCCGAGATTGGGAAGCCAAACAAAACAGAAGCTTCAGAAGCTCAATTGCTAATCCGACTTGGCAACAACAAACAGCGGAGTCGTCAACTTGGAACAAGGTGCTGCACAAAGTGGCCGTAGTCCACGATCTTATGACATCACAACTATGTAAGAATGCAATAACAACCACTAGAGCAGCCACCCACCTCAGCTGACTTTTCAAAATCGTACCACAAGGGCTGCTCAATGGACATTGAAAAGTACCTGAGTCATGCTGTACAAAGTGCCAATGGGGTACTCTCCAGGTTCCACCGCCAGGCCATAGTCGCGCTTGAGGACCTTCCTCTGCCAATTGTAACGCTGTTGCACCCAGTCCATGTCCTCCCTTGTAAGGGTTGTCAGAGAGGCCTTGTCGAGGAAGCCGTCCTTCTTGACTGTATAGAACCCTGTAAAACCGACAGCAAACACTTGATAAGCAACATGGGAGAGGGCCTGGACTCAATAGTTTACCTTGTGAATCTTCAGATAATCTTAATGGCTGAGTACATCCGTGTAGCAGACTCTGCACACACAGCCTACAAAAGGACTAAACTATCAAGACCTTTCCAGTTACGCTTTCAAGTTCTTTGCTAGATCATGTAACAGTGGCTTTAAATCTAAACCGGAGAAGGAAGTGTATCAGGCAGTGCAAATCATGCTTTGCCTGAATGATCATCTTCCATCTGACCACTCACCTTGAAGCTGGAAAACCTCTCCTGCCCACTGTTTCAAATCGAATCCCAGGCCGAACACTGGAGACTGCCTTGAGGGCTCCTTCATCCAGTTTATAATAGCATGAAGGATGAGGTATTTGGCGAGCTGCCACCTGCCTCCAGGGCCGTCTTCCCAGTTCTGCAATGACGATTCAGGTGAAGGTAACAAGAATGTAAAAGGACACAAGATTCTCCGCCTCGAATATTCCTGCCTACGAGTGTCAATTGCAGACGAATTGTACAGCTGCACAATAGAAAACGTCTGCGTCTTACAGGCCCTTCTACGACATCCCTTGGTCAACAACATGTGGGCAAGAATCAACAAGAAATCGACCTTTCGGAAGGACGACCCTTTCCAATCTGCTCGGTAACATAGAAAGGGAGGCACAGCATCCAGATCCAAGTATCACTACTCTACAGTCCTCAGAAGCCCCTTCAAGTAATGAATCATCAGGGATTGCTTACAGCAAGCAAGTGTGCCTTCATCTCCCATATGAGCTTGGCGCAGATGGAATACTTGTACGCCGAGGTTGCATTCAGGATCGCCTTGTCAATGACACTTCCCATCCAATCCATGCTTTGCCGGCCCACTCCCTCGCTGCTCTCGTGCTCCCAGACGATCCCTCTGGAGCTCCCTGGCGATCCTTGCTTCGGGTCTCCTTCGGGGCCTTTGGCTTTCTTTGGCGTCAGTGCTGCATCTTTTATTGCATGTTGGCCTACCGGCTGCAAAAGATACAAGAGTGAACCCATCGTCACCCCTTGTCAAAGGCATGCAAAATCTTGGCACAATCTTGGCACAATCAGCCTTCAATAATGCAAGTCACCTTCAATCAGATTAGGCTCGTAGATGTGTGATGGGCCATTTATCCCTTCCACTTTAACAGCTCAAAATCATGAAAAGCAAAGCACTGAGGGTTCAGCCCTCCAACTGAAAACCAACAAGTTGTGCACATTGAGAAAAGTGTGCAGGTCCCTTTAGGATAACCGCTCGGATAGGAACACTGACTCGTCAAAAAAACTGCAAAAGCAACCACAGACAATGGCAACGCTTCAATGGACGGTACAAACTTACCTGTTCTGGGGGCTCAACTGATTCTTTGAAGATCGTACTCCCTTCCCCATTGTCCCTGGGATCATTAGGGATCGCGAGCTCGTTGAGAAGAGTGATGATGCCCTGAGTTCGTGTCCTGTTGTTCAGCTCCCCGCCTGACTTCTTAAGAGCACGTCCAGTTCTTTCTAAATCCTTCTGTATCACTCTGAACACTTCTACGACTATGTTGAAGTCCTCAATGGCTCCCCCTTCCCATGGATTATTCGGCAAGTCTGTTGAGGCTTTGAAGCGGATGCATGGCCAATTCAGCATCAGGATGTGTTGAGTCCAACTGCTTGCAGGCAGCTTGAAGGGCAACTCTTCCAACTCTTTCTTAGGCATCCTTGCCGAGAAAGGCGGCAGGTTCAAAAAGCAGGTCCGCTGTACGCTTTGAATCAATCCACTCACTTCCAACTGCTCGCATACAAACAAGCTCACCCCTTTCTACTACGTTTCACTTCCAACTGCTCGCATACAAACAAGCTCAGCCCTTTCTACTACGTTCTCGAATAGCTTCACGTCTCCCTTGTCCTGTGCACGTGGTTAGCGTTCCTGCACCCTTCTTCCTCGAGCGACGCAGGGGTCGGTACACAGATTGCACTGTGGCACTGGCAGTAACTTTTGTTATAGCCGAGACGAGATGGCTGCTTCGCTCTTGTTCAACGAGCTATTTCTTAGGATGAGCCTTAGGCCATGAGCGTTTGAGCGCCCCGCTTCAGATTTGAGCGTTACCGCAGAAAATTTGAGCGTTACCGGCTCAAATCTGACGTCATAGCGCTCAAAGTAGTCGTATGCCCGCTTTTTAGGGGCGCGCGCACTATTCGCGGTCGCCTTGCTGACGTCAGCAGAAGGGCTTGTAAAATTTACGGGAAATTGGCCATACTTCGAAGATCTGGACCTTTTGTACTAGCTGAGGGCGGGAGCACGCACAGCTAGGTTAGCTTTCCGCACATTATTACCGACGGGCTCGCTCTATGCATGACTGCTGCGGTTTTTTTCGGTTAAACCCGGGGTTATACACGGGTGGTAGTTCAGTCAACATAATAGTCAACATAATTGTAGGCAGTTGTGCAAGAAATATTCAGCATACCAGAGCCTCCTCCTATTAGCATGACATGCCGTCCATTCTGCACTTCATGATTCAGGGATTGCATATACGTTCATTTATCATGGACACTAATCACAAACTATTGTCTTTCGACTTGAGTCGACAATACATATTTTGACAATGCAATTCAACCAATTTATACTTTTCTTCATACAAAAAACGCACTGTCTGCGAAGTTCTTTAGCTGCCTTCAATCCTACATGTTACGGACCTTCCGGCATTAACACATCGTAATGACACTCCGAACGTGGTACCAGACCGCCTCGTTTTCTCTCAACTGTACAAACTCCATCTGGGGTTGGTAGATCCTCATCTTCCTCCTATTTTCCCCCTTTGCCACCGTTACCTTGTGGCCCATCGCCCATACGACCCTTTGCTCGAAGTCCCCTCCCCAGCATCCGCTTCGCGACATTCTGTCTACGTAAGTATCGAATTCAGTCAAATCGTCCTCGTCCCGTAGCGCTTGGTACAATTTTTCCCACGTTGGCAATGGTCGCCGTTTGCTCGGGGGCCTCGAGGACGTTATCAACTGGGGGGGGATAGGCCTATTCTTGTGGTCACGCAGGTAGGCAACTATCGTTGCGCGCACCTTCAACCCCTCTTTCTCTAAGTCGATTGGGAGACGACCAGCCCGCAGCTGTGCAGCAAGCTCCTCTCCCCCTCCTAGGGGCTCTCCGTTCAATGTTGCCACCACAAATGCAGTCATGAAGAAGCAGTTCATGTTATCACCGCTTATTGCGAACCGCTTGTAATTGCGCAAGTCCACCGTCCCCTCCGAACTTCGCACGACGATATCATCGCTATCTTCGCTGTCCGATGACTCGGACAGAGTCACAGGCGGCTCAGCTATTGATCTTGCCGGTGAGGACATGATGGAACCCGAGACTGCAACCGATGCGATGACCTTCGTTAGCATGTGACGGCTCGTCTCGAAATCACGATTTGACTATTAGCAAATATCACGGTCACTTCATGCCGCGGTCTTGCATTGAGTAGTCCGAGAGGTTGACTGCCCGGTCGGTATGAGATCACAAACTTGAAGCAAACAGATCCATTCCAGAATAGTTCGTCGGTTGGTGGGATGTTTTTTTTATTTACAGTCGTATTCCTAGTTTGGCGTTTTTTTTTCCTCGGATTGTTGACTGCAAATGGTTATCTACGAAGCTTTCCTATTTTTCAGCTCACACTTCCTAACTGTTTACTAGTGACATTGTTCCTATCACACTGCGAGATTCCTAATCCTCAAGTGCTGCATCTTCAATCCTCTGGCTCCTCTATCAGGTAATCGACAAACTTCAAGGCCTCGGCATGGCTAGGGGCTGGTGACTCCTCACGTGGCGCTCTCTGGCTGCTCTCGGTCGCCTCATCGCTGACGGCCGACTGCCCACCTTCACCCCCTTCGGCCGGCCCTTCTCCGCCCTTCTCCCCCCCCTTATTCCGCTTCTTCCGTTCTTTCTTTTCTCCCCCCCCTTCCCCCTCGGACTTTCTCTTCCTCCCCTTGGTCTTCGTGTCCTCAGCAGGGCCCTCTCCACCGCCCTCCGCCGTTCCCTCCGCCGTTCCCCCCTTCTCTTTCCTCTTCCGCTGTTTCTTCTCTTTGGGCTCGCTCCCTTCTGCCTTCTCTCCCTCTTTTTCCGCCGCAACAGGACCCTTCCTCTTCGCGGGCTCCTTCTTAGCGGCTGCCGCCGCACCGCTCGCTGCGTCTTTCTTTCCAGAGCCTGACGCGGCGCCTGCTGCCCCCTTCTTTCCCCCGGCGACTTTCCCCGACTTGCCCCCCTTCCCAGCCGCACTGGGACCCGTCTTCTTCTCCGTCACTTGCTTTTCCCCCGTCGAAGCTACCTTTTCCTTCCCCTTTCGAGATGTCGCCGTCCCGGCTGTCTTCGAGGAGGGTGCTGTGGTAGTCTCTGCGGGGGCTGCTGGCAGCGGATCGAACTCGTCCGGAAGCTTTTGCCCCGCCCGGTACGCCATCGCCCGCTCGGCGAACGTCATGTCGGTGGGCGTGGATCTGATCCTCCGCCCCTTCGACCCCATCCACACATGCAGCCTGCGGCTAAGTACCGACACCACCAGCATGTTTCTCCTCAGCAGGGCAGCTGTCGTGTACCCGTTCTCCTCCCCTAAAACCACAGCTACCGCGCTCCCAGTCGCAGAGGGGACGGCGCCCTGTACATAGCAGATGCACAAGCTCCATCAAAAGTCTGAAACAGAACAAGGCATCGTAGGCAGGCTGTGACACTAGGGCAGAAACAAGTACTCGATGAATAAGTAGCCGAAGTCAAAGCAGACTAGAAACAGATGTTTATTTCCCACACCGCAACCATCGCAGGCAGGATGCGACACTTTACCACAGTCGTCAAACAATTTAAGACACTGCTCGTGCATAAGGAACTCATATATCATCGTCATCGAAGTGCTCCTGCCCCGCTTACAAAACATCACATGCAGGGTGCGACACTATCCAGCGTGAGGAAATACAATCACCTCGAGAATGCTGTTGATGGTCTCCAGGGGCCAGCTCTCTGGGTCGGCTGTGCACGGACTGGTCTGCAATAGACAAGGAGAGTGGCATCAGTTTCAGAAAACCCTTTACTACAAAAGCATCGCACGCAGCATGCGACGCTTTTACAACTTCCACCATCGAAGATTTGCAGTGGGCCGAGCTGCTTGTAAGAGGACCTACCGTGAACGTGCCGGCGTGCTTGAACTTCTTGTGGGTCAGCCCGAACCCGTACTGCTTGGACTGGTCGGGGAGCTCCAGCTCGGACCCGACGGGAGTCAAGTAGACGACCTGGTACATCGTCCCACTGTCTCCCCACTTCTCGAACTTCCCGAACCCCTTCTGAGAGTAAATAGACATTCGTTAGGACTTAAGTGAGTTCAAGCTATCTTGATGAGGGCGGGACCTGTTATGGAGCTTCTTGCACAGTGTACATGACAAACAAGCAAGACAAAACACATGGCGAGCCCCAGCTTTTATACCTAGAGGGGAAAGCTACAAAGTACAGCAGCTGATCAAACTCTCCATAGTCAAAAGCAATCATAGTGAAGACGGAAAACAAACAAGACGACACACGGCAAGCCCAACACTTTTTAAACTACAGAGGAAAGCTACAAAACACAGCAGCTCGTAGAGGTCAGAGCAGTCTCTAAAGTTGGTAAAAAAGTTGCGCTTAACCTACCTCCAGTTTCTTGGGGACCAGGCAGATGACCCTGCGGGCGACTATCTGTAGACCGGGCGCAATCCAGTCGAGCGGGGTGTCGCCCGGAAGAACCGCGATCCCCACTGTTCCGTCAAACCTGAGAAGGTCTGACATCAGCTGTGTCGCCGCCCTGACTGACGACTCGAGCGCGCGCGCGTCTCCGACCACCTCCCTAGCGCACGCAGCTAGATACATAACTAGATGGACCGGTCGCTCCGTCAAGTCGAATTCCTGGCTGCTGGAGGTCACCCAACCCAGGCGGTCTGTGATGGCGGAAATGGGGGGGAACTTCTCCCCAACTACCCCCTGATGCGCTGTGTCCGTTCGGACCGCCATGACAGCCAGGCGGGAGTCCGGGCGGATTTGGAGGACGATTTTGCGGTCCCATAGTTCCAGGGAGCGGGGGGGGTTTACAATCGACTCCACGACCGAGGCTGACAGATAGGGGGCGGCCGGGAGCTTCTCCTTCTTGGCCAGGGTCCGCGGTTCAGCCCCCCTGTCCCAAACCCGGATCGTGGGGGTGGCTTCGTCACAGTCCACCTCCCACCGGCACCCCATTACCGCTTCCCTGAAGGGCGTTGTGTCCAGGTAGTCCAGCTCTTAAGGTCCCACTGCGAGTACATGACTTGCTCGTCGGCCACGTAGTCACGGTCTTCGTTTTTGAACATTGTGCCGGCGGGTTTCACGAAACCAGCGCGCGTGATGAGCGCGTGCCGCAGCTCCGGAACTGGGATGACGACGAATTGTTGGATGACGAGTTTGGGGAGGTTCTGCAGCGCCACGAGAGTCTGCAGCTGGTCGGGGGTGACCTCGAAGGTGCGCGACGGGAGGACGGTCCTGAAGTAGCTGCATAGAAGGAAACTTGAGTGGTAAGGAAGGGTGTTGCATGCAGGGTGTGATACTTTAGTTCTAATCATTGCCAAACCCCATAATACGTAAAAGGCGGGACTACTTCGGTTGGTCAAGCCTGAAATTGACGTGTCGCATGCAGGGGGCGACACTGTAACCCACAATGCTTTTTATTCATAAAAGGAACGACTGAAAATATTTTATTGATCAAAAAAGAAAACACTTTGACACGACACGCTAAGAGCAGACAGCCGGTATCATTCTAGTACGGAAACCGAGTTGGTACAATTCAAACTGAACGAAACAGTTTTAATGATGTTAGCATCGCAGGCAGGATGCGATACTTCCGGGAAATACGCTCAGACAGCAAACAAACACTCTGACAACTTTACACAACCAAATTCTTGAAGTACGATCGCCAGATATTGATTCAACAGCAGCTTCGTACCTGGGTAGATTGCACAAATGTACAGAACAGATTTCGAAATCCACTAATTACTAACCTGAGCGTCATTCGGTCTCGCAAGGAGGCGAGCGCTGCAGGCTTGATGTTTCCGCTGAATGCGGACACGGACGCCGCCCACCAAAACGGCCTCCCCGCCGGCCCGTCCGGGGTCTGCATCCACAGAATGGCCTTGCCGAACTCGTACGGATCGTACGCTCCGGCGAAGTGGAGGTAGTCCTTAGCCAATGCAGGCGAATCCCCCCTCTTTCTGGTCTTCGGCTTCTCGTAGAACCCGAAGTCCATGAGCTGGGTGACGACAGCCTCGCACACCGCGAACAGGACCCCCATCCACTTCACCCAGGACTTCAGATTGGATCGGGATCGGTCCAGGCCGGTGATGTGCTTGAAGGACTCTCCGTCGAGTTCGCAGAGAAGCACGACGACTGCATCCCAGGAGACGGGCAGGTGCTTCATCGACAGAACGTCGAGGACGTCGATGTCTGGCACAACGAGCTCAGGCTGCTCGAGCATGACCCATCTTTGCCAAATGGGCTCCCAAAAGCCGCGCTTCTCCTTTGACAGGTTGGCGCAGTGCACCCTCTTCAGCGCCCACACAGACCGGGCGGACCCGAGTTCGCCGACTTTCTCCGCAGGGAGGCTCAAGGTCGACTTGTCCATGAGCAGCAGGCTGTAAAGCATCAAGAAATAGTAAGCCGTCTTTTCAATCGCGTCTAAACGTCAGATTTGACATAACATTCTTTCGTACAGAAGGACAAATCACAACAGTATTTCCATGACACTCAGTACAGCCAACAAGAGTAGACAATAGCATTATGCTTGCAAACTCATTATTAACCGGGATCCCGAGTTCCAATGATCTCCACGGAAAGTAACAGCAAGAAACACAGAAAACGAGTTGGGTTCTCACCCGAGGCTGGGCTTCAAGCCCACAGCAAACACAATCCCGGGGTAGTTCACTCCTTGCTCTTTGAGCTCTGCTCGCAGCTTAGTCCACTTCCCAGTGTGTTCGCCGTACAACGTGAGCATCTGCATCGGTAAATAAGTATCGCACTCAGCATGTGACACCTCCACAGCAATCGAGTACAGGAGAATAAACCTCGACAAAGAGACAGACCCAGACAAGAGAACAATTCCGCGCATACAGTGTATCCGTCCTACAAGGCTTGTCTCTCTTAACCAAATGGGAACTCGAAGGAAGAAAACAACAAGGCGTCACAGCCTGCCGGCGACACTCCAGGAGATAGGGGATCTGCTTTAAGCTGTGCAACAGTCTATAGGCTAGATATCCTTACGTCATTGAAATTCTAAAGGTTGAAGAAGCACAGCATCACATCCTGCCTGCGACACTCTCTGGTATAAAATTTCGAAAGGTTGAAGAAGCACAGCATCGCATCCTGCCTGCGACACTCTCCGAGATAGAATTCCAAAGGTTGAAGAAGCACAGCATCGCATCCTGCCTGCGACACTCTCAGTAAACTCACCGCTCCGCTGACGATCTTCTCCATCTCTTCTTCGGTCTTGTCGTTGAGCTGGTAGCAGGCGTAAACCTCTTGCGCCACAGTCTTCTTGGAGTTGAACTCGATGTTGTTGTCGTTTATCTGCCGGGACATAGCCGCGACGTCGTCCATGTTGTCAGCGGTTAGGCCGACCAAGAACGTTTGGAAGAAGATGTCCTTGGTAGTCTTTCCCGTGTCAGCCTTGTCCTTGGCACGACCCCGTTTGTATCCCTCCAGCCTGGAAAGAAATGGAATCAAATCAACAACTAATTTCCTAGCATATTTAGCACAGCGTACAGCCAATGACCTTTGGTACAAAGCAACGGAGGCAGCCATGCCGAGTCGCTCATTTTGTTGTCGGAACGTATGGCAAAGACTGATTCGCAACCAACAACATACAGGATGGAATACAGGGCTAACATCACCTTGGTTCTGGTTAAGCTTCTTTTCTATATTCTGTGGCAATGAAATCGTTGAATGCAGTCAAGAAACAAAGGCGAGGCAACTTTAGCATAGCGAGCGCTGACCACTGCAGTATTTCACAAATGTGCTCACCTCGAGTTCCCATCCACAAGGAACAGCCACCTCCCCACCACGTTCGCCTTAAGCCACTCCCCCTTCGCCTTCACTCCGGCGTCCTCGCTCTTGCACATCTGCCCGACCGTCTTCTCAAACTTCTCTAGATCCGCCCGATCTTCGACAGACATCGCCGCCTTGTCTTCTTCGGTGATCAAAACGTCTTTCCCAAACGGTCTGATCACTGCCGTCACGTCCCCCCTCTCCTTGATGTGGCCCTCCACCCAGATCCTCTCCCCCGTCCTGACCTGCGCAGGCGTGGTCATCCTTTCCGTGATCCGCACCGCCTTGGGCCGTCCGTTGGCGTCTACCTCAGGGTGCACTACACCAAACTTCTCTGCGTCGTTCCCGTTTTGCAGCATGCACATCGGGATGTCGAAGTGCAGCTTGCCCCTCCCATCCCAGTCCTTTGGATAGGCGGCGGTTGCTTCCATCAGAGACGTCATCCGGCGCGCGACCTGATGCACGCTTACCAGGTCGGTGAGCTTGCGGAACTGCAAGGGTTGAGAAACGTAGTTAGGTGAGCGAATTGAACCAATCAGCACAGTAAATATTTCGGGAGAAGGACTACACCATCACATGCTGGAGGCGATACTCTCAAAAGAGGTCTAGTAAAGGGTAACTCAAGGAGGCATGATGAACAAGACACTGCACGTGGACTATCAGCAACCTTATCCACATTCGTTTACACACTCCGCAGCGATTTGAAAGGAATCCTATTCTGTACCAGGTGTTTGTTATAAAAATAGCTAGCTCTGAAACGGGCGTGACCAGCTACAGGCCCCTTACAAACGCCAACACGTTATGCCAACAACCTATCCTAGTATCACAGCCAGGATGCGACGCTGGGAGAACACAGAATAGCAGAACGACGAATACTTAAGCATTAACTTGCGCACAGTTCATGCTGGCAATAACCCTAAGGACACCCCTTTACAAGATATCACAAAAACACGAGAACATCAGTGGGCAATGGTATCACAGGCAGCATGCCACGCTTCAGACTACAAACAGCCAGTATGCAGACTATCTGAAGGTATAAGAAGGACATGACAACCTCAACAATCAAAAGCGTCACAGGCAGCATGCGACGTTCATACAAAGACCATCCCTTTGTACCCCTTTGCAGTCCCCATCTCAAGTCTCAAATGAAGTAGAGAACCTCAGTTAAGTCCACAGCATCTCATGCAGTTTGCGACGCTTCTAAACTCAAGCAACATAAAAAATCTACTAAAATGTTATCTAATCTATCAAACCTACCTCTTCAGCATTCAGGCCCTTTGCCTCTTCACCCCCCTTCCCCTCCTTGAATTCCTGAGCCAGCTTCCTGATGTACTCCATCCTCTCAGGGTTGATCTTCCCTGACGGTCCGAAGAAATCTCCAGAGCCCACCGCCCCAGTTGGTGCCTCCTTCTCCCCTCCGTCAGCAGCCTCTGACTTGCCTGCGGCATCCCCCTTCCCTGACGTTCCCGCCTTCTTTGCACCCCCCTTCTCTGGGGGCTTGGCAATAGGAGGTGTCTCCTTGGGTGGTGCCTTGTCTTGCTCCGCACCCCCCCCCACCTCTTCCCTCATCTCTGCTGAAACTTCCCCACTTTTCCGCTCTTGCGCTGCGCTAACCTCGCTTCTCTTCTTCTCGATATCAACTGCGGAGGACTCCACCCCTTCAAGGCTTGACCTTCCTTGCAGCCCCTCCACCTGAACCTCAGGCGGTTCCTTAGTTACCCCTTCTCCGGTTCCCTCCGCCTCCGCCTTGTCTTCCTTCTTCCCTAACTCAGGATCGTGCGCCTTTTGGGTCGCGCCCGTTACCGCATCTAAGGCCGACAGCTCACTGACCGCGGGCGGGTTTTTAGTCGGGGGGTTTTCAGGGTTTACCCCCGAAACGTCAGCGGCCGCCCCGCCCCCCACTTCCGTCGGCGCGCTCGCGACTTCGAGCCGCGCGCCCGCTCCACTATCCAAAACCTCCAGGCCAACCGGCTGATCTTCGGCGGCGATTCCGGCGGCCGCGCGGTCACCGGAACCGCCTTCTGCGGCGGCCGCCTCCGCTCGCTGCTCGCCTACCCCACCCTCGAAATTTGACTCCGCTTCTGCCACCACCGAGGGCATTGCAGCAGGGTTAACTTCCGAGACTCCTTTCCCGCCTTCCGCATGAGCGGATTCCGCTTCTTCGTTGCCCCTATCCCCCCGCTTCAGCTTGGACCTGGGCTTCCTCGTTCCTAGCGGCAAGTCCTCAGGGTCAACCTGTGCAGCTTCCCGCTTTGGCTTCTTTCCACGCCCCATACTCGTTTCGCTTCGGTTGTTCACGACACTATCCGGGATAGAACTTCTTGGCCCTGGGCCGCTTCGCAGGTTCTTTCCAAACGGTGAAGTACGTGTCGAGACTGTCTCACTCTCTGCTGTGGTATTCTGAGAATCCTGGTCTGTTTTTTTTTAGCGAGTGATCCTAATTACAAGCCCACTCCGAGAGGCCATACAACCAACAGGCGTCGCAGGCAGCAGGTGACACTAGCTTAGCTAAACCCCAGATGCAACGATCGCCTCTGAGCGTCGCACCCCGGATGCGACGTTTTGAGAAACTTTGAGGAGCTCACGAACGACAGCAAGAGAGAAGCGTCCTAGGCAGGATGCGGCACTAACCTACGAAGCCAGCTGCACAGAGGTTTCAGACAAAGGCGTCACAGGCTGTGTGCGATGCTTTTACCTCTAATGCATTGAAAGCAGTTTGAGCTCGCATCTAGGCATTCGCTTGCAGCCCACAAGAAAGCATCGTTTTCATAAACGATACTTTGCTGAAACGGCCGTATTCTCCGGCGGCGCCCTGAAAACCAACTTCAAAAGTTGGGAAAAAGGACAAATGACGCTTTTCTGAAACCTTTGAAGCATGACGCTAAATGTGACGCTAAAGCGGAGCAACTTTTGCGAGATCAATTTGTTATCCGTGACTACTTTAGCGTCACACTTTACGGCTGCCTCGCGGCTTATATGATTTTCTTACATTTGTTGTTTCCACCGACAGCCGCAAAATCCAGTCGGGTGCTTGACTAATGATGTTCAGGATGCGTTTTTTCTAACCATATATTACTACATTATTCTACTGACATGCAAGTTGGCGCATGCACGTGTTTCAAGCGAACATGACCAATCAGAATGGTGCAAAAGGATGGGCACATCCTTACCAGCCAATCGGAGCATCTAAGGATGTTCGCGCGTCCAATCACATTCGAGCAACCACGCAGGGGTGCTCGTGCTTGCTGCTGCGATCATAGAATTCCGCGAATGTCACAAACCCTCGGCGCCCATCTCGCTCATTCGTAGGTTTGTAGGTTCGACGATCGGGGCGCTTCTCGGCAGTTTCCGCACGTGTGCTGACGTCAGCACGCAATGGCATCAGGTAAGTTGCAGCATCGCATGTCGCCTACGATACTGTGCTCTGAGAGCTACTGTTAACTGTGACCACCTGCGAAGTTGCTGTCAGACAGCTTGGATCGGATCTTTTGACGAAGCATCGCATGCAACATGCGATGCTACGAGATAGACGGTGCTACAAACTACAGATTCATATGGTAAAGCTGAGCCCCGTACAGTAAGTCACGTACCAGTAGTTACTGAACTATTCTTTGCCCGAACTGTGTGCAGCTCTCACCGCGTTCAAGCCGCCACGGCAAGGACTGACAGTTGGTAGTCGGCTTTCCGGGGACGGGAAGCAGGCAACTCAGCGGGCCGATCACGGCCAGCGTTCAGGTGAATGAACACATTAACAGCTACTTTGAATCTAAAATTTATTGTTTATTGTTCAGGGGGTATTTGTTTTCGTTTCAATTTGTTGTCACGATTTGGGGTAGCAAAAGTGCACTTCTTGCTTTCGTTTTAAAGGGCTCCGTATTGCTCATTGTCATCTTGAATCTTTTGACTCCTTTGATTGTTTCGTAAAAGGTCCTTGACTATAATGAACATTTCGACTTCTTCCGTTATTGATTTAAGGGTTAAAATAGAGAAGTGTTTTGAAGTTAGATTCTAATTTTGGTTGGTTGATTCAAACGAGAAATCTCACTATACCAAGCTTTGTAGTTCGAAGAATTAAAAGGATGTTGGGCTTGATACTATTTCTTAGTTTATCAATATTAAATTGTTTGAACTAGCAAGCACGAGGATTCAGCCAGGAATACAGAGACATTTACCGTTTTACCTTGTCCGTAGCAATTATGTTAAGCTAATTTTGGTGCTGTGCCAAGCAGGATCCGAAGGAAATGGCGGGGCACGTACCGGTGGTGCCTCGCCATCGAGGACGCATTCGGACTCCGAGTTGCCCCGCAATCCAACGGCGCAATCCAAGGAGATGCCAATGGTGGAGATCACCAGCGATAACGGCAAGGTGTACTCCACCATTTGCGACGGCGATGAGGCGATCGTCTTCGAGCGGACGCTAAAATCCAAGTTTCACGACG